CCTCGGAGCCCTGTTCTTGGGGTTCCCGACCCCACGATTTCTCGCCCAAAATCGACCCATATCCCCCCAAGAGGCCTCCAAGAGGCCCCAAGAAGCCTCCAAGACGCCCCATGAGGCTTCCAAGACGCCCCAAGAGACCACCAACAGGCCTCCAAACAAGGCCCCAAGAGGCCAACATCGTTCATTTTCATTGGTTCTTTCGATGTTTGGGGCGTTTTCGCCTGTTCGGCTTTCCGACGCTCCAAGACCGCCCAAGAAGCTCCAAAGAAGACGGCCCCCATACGGCCCAACAAGTTTATCCAGACGGCCCAAAAACCACCCAAAACGGCCCAAGAGGCTCCTTGACGCCTCCCAGACGGGCCAAGAGGCCTCCAAAACGCCCCAAGAGGCCGCCTGACGTCTCAAAAGGCTTCCAAGAAGCCCCAAGAAGTCTCCAAGACGCCCCAAGAGACCTCCAAAACACTTCAAAAGACCTCCCAGAGGCCTCCAAAGAAAGCCCCAAGAAGCCAAAGTCGTTGATTTTCATTGTTTTGTCAATGTTTTTGGCATTTTCGCCTTTTCGCCTTTCCGACGCTCCAAGAACGCCCAAGAAGCTCCAAAAACGAGGGCCCCCAAACGGCCCAAAAGGCCTATCCAGACGGCCCAAGAGCCGCCCGAGACGGCCCAAGAGGCTCCTTGACGCCTCCCAGACCTCCAAGACGCCCCAAGAGGCCGCCTCAACGCCCCAAGAGGCCTCCAAGAGGCCCCAAAAGGCCTCCAAGACGCCCCCAGAGACCTCCAAGACGCACCAAGAGACCTCCAAGAGGCCTCCAAAGAGGGCCCCAAGAGGCCAAAATCGTTGTTTTCTCATTATTTTTTCAATGTTTTGGGCATTTTCGCCTGTTCGGCTTTCCGACGCTCCAAGACCGCCCAAGAAGCTCCCAAGACCGCTCCACAACGGACACAAAACCTTCCACGACGCCCCCAAGACGGCCCAAGAGAGCTCCCAGACGGCCAATAAAGGCTCCCAGACGGCCCAAGAGCCGCCCAAGACGGCCCAAGAGGATCCTTGACGCCTCCCAGACGGTCGAAGAGGCCTCGAAGAAGCCCCGAGAGGCCGCCGAGACGCCCCAAGAGGCCGCCGAGAGAAGTTTTAAGGCAAGGGATTCGGGGGCTCCGACAAGGGGAGGGCTTACTCGAGCCCAGCCTATTCTCTGCTCGATTGTCCCCCGAACCGGCCCAGAGCAGGGCCCGAATAAGCCCCCAAGGAGCATCCCAAAGAAGCCCCGACCAAGCCCACAGGTGGTCCCTCAAGCCCCTTTGAGCGTAGGTGGTTTCGAGAGATTCCTTTGGCAACCGCCCGCTTCCCCTTCGGGGACGAGTTTAGCCCTTCGGCGCGCGTCGCGAGGGATGGGGCGCCTAAGAGGACCCAACATGGCTCCAAGAGGGCCTCAGCGAGCCCAAGATGAACCCCAGCCCGGGATGACGTCCAAGATGGCTCAAGGAAGCACAACATGGCTCAATATATCAAACGAAAGCCTCCGAAAGACTCCCAGATCGCATGACGACAGGCTTCTGCGACCTCAAGACGGCTCCAAGAAGGCCCAAGATTCCTCCTGAACTCCGTCGGCGTGTGAAATGATGCCACCTCAGCAACCCCTTCCCCCAGGAGCCCAGTACGAGGGATTTGGGAGAGGGAGGTCTCCCCCCAACCGACGCAACGCACAAACAATACATGCATTTATTTGGGGTCGGCGGCAGAGGCGGCAGCCTTTAAACAATTTCTATAAATTTCTCGAGATGCCCTCCCCCGAGGGGGCCTAGGGACACATACATAAATAGACACAAATACAAACATTCCCCATATTTACTCATATTTTCTGGATGTTCGTCTTCCCCCCCCACTTCCCATATTTTCCCATATCTTCTGGGGGATCGAGAATTAATTTTGCCTGTGTTTTTTCCCCTCCCGATCCCCCTCCACCGCCTCGTCCTCTCCATGGGAGTCGACGGCGGTGGCGATGCCTCGCCGACAAACGCCCCCCTTGTCCCGCCGCGGCATCGGCGGCGGCGATGCCCAGAACTGGCTGCCCCGTCGGGGAGCTTCCGCCCTCCCTCGTCGCTGGGGCGTGCATTCCCCGTGCCCTCTTCGGCTGCGTGCGTGTATTTTTCGCAAGATGGCCCGACGTGCTCCTCGACGGTCACCCTCGGGGAAAAATGCTCACGCCCGAGCGATGCCGAGCCTCCCTCTCCCTGCTGCCGAAGCACCCCGCCCGTCTCCCACGTGCCATGCGCCACGGGCTTGTTGGGTGCGGGAAGATCATGATTGGAACCGCAGCTGCCTCCTCGCCTGGGCACCACTGTAAAGCATTCAAAGCGAGGTGGCACGTCGAGCAATCTGAGCCGATCATGGTGCACTCAGACTTTGCATGTGCTGGCCATGGTGCACTCAGACTCTGCATGTGCCTACGTACTCGGCGAATTGCAGCGGGTTGCGGAGGCACGATGAGCGATGAACGTG